CTAAGCACAACAAAAGCTGATAACGATTTTCTTCAAGATAAAAGAAGTGCCCTTTACCGTAAGATCAAAGATCTTGAAGACTTACTTGCTACAACGGGGCAAACAGAACAAACAATCTTCTTGAACCAACCCAAAGACACCCGTTTCTATAATTCTAAAGAAGGACTCGGTCTGTCTAACCCATGTAATTTGAAGAAGGTGAACTGTGCTCAACTGTATGACATCAATTATATGGGTCTTGGACTGACTAAGTTGATGTCTTTCCTCAGTGTTAAAGAAACGAATGAAGAAGAAGATGCCAAGAGAGCTAATCTCGGAACAGAAATTCCTTTTGATTATGCTGCCTTGAACGAGAGCTATGAAACAAAAGAGCCCCCGTTGACTCCTCCTGAAGAGATTCCAACCTTTTACCCTACAAAAGAGACTGTGCAAGATCAAGGGGAACCTTCAACTTCAGAGCCTGTAGCCAAACCAACATACATTCCACCCCTTGTGAGAACGTTTGCTGAATTGAAAGAAGCTTTTGATAAAGAAAAACAAGATTTTGAACTAGAAAGAGAACAACTCTTGAATGAAATATCTTTACTCCAAATATCCTCTCAATCAAGCACAGGCTCACAATCTCCTTCTCCTCCGTCTTCTGAGAACTGTTCTGAAAAATCTACAAATGATCCTGAAACTTCCAGTTCTCACTCTGAGTCACCTTCACCGACAAGGGCCCCTATGAAGAGGAGAGTGGAAAGGAGAGGAGAATGGATAGAGGACAAGTTAAGAAGAAGAAAGAAGGAAGAAGAATCTCGTCTAAGAGATAGGAACTGGGGTTCAAGTGCTCTCTTCTATGCCAAAAGGAAGACATCTCCTACGAATCACTGCTCAAGCTCCTCTACTCAGAACTATATCAAGTCTTTCATGCAATGCTGCTCTGAGTCTGATGCCTCCTTCACTCAAGATCAGAATGTGAATGATCAGGGAGTCCAAAAGAAATCCGCTTCCGCAAAGGTAAACGTTGAGGGAGAGTATACACTACCATGTTTGAAATATCCCCTCAAGGTTCACTTACTCAAACATTTGAGAAGACTCTCTAAAGAACCAATTCTCAAAGACTACTTGTCTGATCATTCACTCAGTGATAATGAAACCTCTCCTGCTCAAAAGCTCAAACAAAAATGGGTTCCTAAGACTGAAGCTGAAAAATTAAGAATGTCAGACTCCTCTCAGTCAGCTAGCTTAGGATCCCAGATTAAACAGAAAGTGAAAGAGTTGTTCGCTACTGCCAAGGAAGGACCCATCTGGAAATGGGTACCGAAACATACTTAATATGTGTTGAAGGTCCGTCATGTGTGGTAACTGATCCAATTGCTCCACACACATGGCGGGTATGAAGACGAGCCATGAGCAATCAATTGGTGCACATTATCAAGGAGAGTACTGGCGTGAATACTCTCTACTAAGCTGAAAATCAACAAATGCACACCTCAACACCAACAAACGCCATGTGCTTATTCTGAGGGAGAGTGTTTCTTTTTCACTCCTCTTGGAGCCAAACAACGAAGAAAGCACATTCTAAGGGGGAGTTTTCTACTTTACTCCCCGGGTAGAAACAACACAACTTGCAACTTTTGAGGGGGAGTTTCATTTTTGTTCTCCTGGTGCTAGACAATGTAAAATGCAAGGATTCTCTCAAGGATGTGGATTTTAAGGGGGGGTTTTCAAAGTTCTCCTCTCAAGCGCCAACCATCGTGGAAGGCATCCTACTGAGTGCTCAAATTGAGGGGGAGTACAGAAAGAAAAGAAAAGAATAAAGAGAAATGAGAGATAAGTCCTAATGGCTTAGTAAACCCAACTAAGCCTACCCAAGGGACAAAGCCGAGAGTGAGTGAGTAACTGAGTGAACACTATGAGAGTGAGGAAGTAGAAAGCTCAAGTGAGCAAAAGAACAATAATCACTGTCAAATCTGCTACCTCTGTTGTGCTATCAATCGAGAGAATTACTCCCAGTCACTCAAATTCTGTGGACAATCCCCATAGGTTCAGGACTGAATTTATTCAGATCCCGGGTAGAAGTCTCTGCATCTTGTCCAAACGGCGCATGCACAACCCTACCTAAGACCACTCACCTGTCTCCCAACAGGCATGTGTTTAATCATACTTCACGGGGAACCTCATCTCTAATCACCGTCTCCTTCTGAGGCGACTGATACTGACTACAGTGGCCCACAACCCCACGCCACTGAACATTCTTTGATCACGTCGTGTCTAGTAATCTCACTCCCAAATGTTTTGAATTTTCTAGGACACAGACACTTTTTAGAGTCAGTTGCAGGTCTTCATGACCCGCGAGAACTTCCATAGGGATCATCTACTATAGATGAAGACCAATGATTGGAAGGAAGTCCTTCTGTTGCAACATAGAACTCACCAACATGTTCAGGCCATCGCTTCAGAGTTTATCTCTATAGTGATGATAACGGGCGTCAACACGACCCCGGGGGGCTATGTTATCTTTGCTGATCATTATGATCATGCCATAACAACCAGAGTGACATCTGCTTTAGATGCCTCACAATGACTGGTTGGAAGTCCTGTTAGAGCTTTAATGCTTCTATCATTTTTATATAGGCCACACGTCAGTGTTTACATTGATGTTGTGATAACGGAACACCATGGTGTCTCCGGTGTTTACCTTTTTTTTGTTTTTTTTCTATTTTGTTTCACAGAATAAAAGAATAAAGGCATGACACCCCGATTCATCGGATCGTCATGAGGGGGAGAGTGGTCCGCATGCTGTTTACTCTAAAAAATCATTCTTGGACACTTCTCCTCCAACACAAAAAACGACGACAAGTCAGCTTCACATGAAATGGTCAGCTACGCTCATAAGTCAATCATCATTTTCCGTTGTGCAACCGACTGGTTCTCCTCAAAAGCATTCACCTCAAATAGTCAAAAGGGCTACATTGTGGAGGAGACAGAGGTCAGGTAATCAGAATCCCATGTGTGTTTGCAATTCTTCAAGGACATTCATTCTAGAGGCGCGCCACCGGATTTAATCCAAGCTGATCAAGACCAACCTTTGGAAGGCAAGGACTACATGCAAGACACTGAAGATTCCTCAACTATGGCATCAAAGATCAAATTGCCAAGAAGACATCAAAGGAAGCCCTCTAAAGAAGTCGAGTTCAACACGAAGACAAAGGAAGCTGAGTTCCACTGAAGATCAAGACAAAAGAGGAGCAACTCAACAGATTTTATCTATGCTCTCCTCTACATTGCTGAATAAACACAAAGACAAAGATATCTGCGCTGCAATGCTAATTGAACACGATTGAACACCAAGGGGGAGATTGTTGGGAATATTTTGTGGTGTCCAATCTAATTAAATATCTTTGTATTTGTGTAGTTATTAGTTAAATGTGTAATATGGGCCATAAATATATTTTAGCCCATTAGCCCACTTGTAAGCCTTAAGTTAGACATCCTTATGTATAAAAGGATGCTAACTTAAGCAAACCCAAACTCTCACATAAGACTCAACGCAGATATCATTTTTAGTGAGAAGGGAGAAAAACGCCGTTCATACCCTATTCTGTATTTCGACATCTTTATTGGTATTGAATCGGATCATCGTTTCTTCTGTACTCGTTATATTGTTTGTATGATTGTTGATTGATATTGGGACTAACAGTACTACATGTGCGGAGTGATGTACTTTGACCATGACAAACGCTTGCACTCCAATCGGGGTAGATACGGCAGGTGTTGGGTGCATCACGAAGCACATGGAGTAGTAGTTGAGCCAAGAAAGGATTCATTCCTCGTAATAGATCAATAGAGAACATTCTACTTCTCATATCTATATGGATCATAAAGTCATTGGCCAATGCAAAGATATATTCGTTTTGGATATCGAATATGATCGTTATGGATCATCTAGAAAGATTGAGAGACAGAAACTAAGTTATTGGAATAGACACAATATCATGTTCTAGACTTAGTTGAATGTTCGTTGAATGAAATGACCGTATCACTATGAGCTCTATATTACAGGGAGTTTGAATAGTCCTCGCAAACTTCCTTATATATTATGTTTGTCTGGAGAATCGTCTAGGGATTCGCTAAGACCTTAATTTGATTAGTGCTTAATATATAAGGTCTTATGGGTCACACAACAAGTGATTATACCTTCCGATTGAATTGTTAGAAGGAATTAAATATTATTAATTTGATTAAATAATATTTAATTAGTAATACTGAAAATGGATTAAATATTAATTAGATTAATATATTTAATTCATCATGTTGAAGGATTATTCTATATGATAGAATTAATTAAGTAAAATAAATGAGATTTATTACACTTAATTAAGATGTACTTTTAATTAAATAAAGTTGATATGTTTTGGTACAATTTAAAATTGAAGTAAAGCCAAAGAAAATAATAAGTAAAACTTAAGTTGGAATGGGAGTATCACACGTACATCCCATGTTCCAACTTTAGTGTTTTGCTTTTTATTTTTATTATTATCTTTATTTAATCATTAATGAAGAACACTTTCATTGTGATTGGGAAATTAGTTTAGAACTAGTATAAATACATCATTCTCCTTCATAATTAATGACAAGTTTTCAGATTCAGTATTACCAGTTTATTTCCCTGAGATTTCCTAGCCTTTCTCTTAGGGAGATCTAACCGTTCTTTCGGAAAGGAGAAATCACGTGGATACCAAAGATCAAGGATTATCACCGCTAGGCTGGAAGATCTGTAAGTTCTAACTCAGATCTGTTATTATTATCATATTCGTTATTTTGTCATAATCGGGGAAGATCTGTTTGGAAAAATTTTAAACATCCGTTGTTGTACTTTCGAGCTACGTTACATCAATTTCCTAACAGTGGTATCAGAGCCAAACTGATTTCAATGACATTATACGAATTTGTGATGAAATTATCATATATTTCATATATATATTTGCCTGATCTCTATATTCAAATATAGATTTGTTAAGATCTGAAATTAGAAAGAAATTGAGATTAGAGCTGCCGTAATTAAGATATGGGCGTCTTTTCTGTTCTTTGTTCTTTCTGCAACTAAGATCTCTTCGACTTTGATGATGGATCTGTAAATCTACGAAAATCGGTCGGTCTGGAATGTTTATTTGTTTCTAACTGGTTTTTTTAGGCTTCAAACATAATTCTTCGAATTAGTTTTAGCCTGAGGACCTATTAGCAATTTGTTGTAGTTTTGAAGTTTCGAACGATCAAGTATGAACAAGAGGCAGTTTTGTAGTTTTCTCCAACAACAAAGGATTTCAGAGGGCTTGCGATGAATAGACCAGATGCTTCCGGCGGAATCCACGACGAAGAAGTCTAGATTTGAACGTGAATTTGAATCCGGTTAGAGTTCTTTTATCTTTTAAGGCCGTATTGTTTTTGGAAAATAGATTTTACCAAAATTGAGGTTTGATCTTACTGGTAAATTGATTGTGATTACCTTTTAAAACTGGTTTTGTTATAATTAGAAAAACAAAACAACTTTACTTTGAGGATTGTTCGAACTGCAGACTCAAGAAGTTTTTGTTTTGTTTTAAGTCTTTTTGAAAGACTTAATGTGGACTACTAATTTGATTAGTTAAACTTCAAAAGTCACTACATAATATTCATGTAACTTTATTTCTTTATTCTAATTAAATTAAGTTTCTTTAAGTTTCGTTTATAATGATTACATTATTATTTTAAGCATGCTTATATTATTAAATGTTTGACAATTGTTTTGTTATTAATTAGATTAATATTGCATGCTTTAATTTTATATGTTTGAGTTAGATCTTGTTAGCATATTATTTAATAATATGTTTTAGCATCTTGATTAAGTAATAAATACCCCGCTAAATGTTCCCCATAAATTAAAATTTAAGTCTTATCTAGGATAACGACATCACCCATCATAATTAAATTAGTAGAAATATTTTTTCATTGAAAAATATTTCACCCAAGTGTTTATTCCATTCGACAAAATATAGAACTAATTTATAGATACATATGTTTGTGATCGTGTGATGGTTTTGACTTACTTAAATTAGCTCGAGTCGCCCAAATGTCAGTGTTAATTTAGGGATGTCGATCAATTTAAAAATTGATCAACCAAGAATTGCTTGGACGCAATTCGTCTACGGACCTACCCATTATATTATTGCAGTGATCAGCCCAAGCTGGGACTGTAATAGTATGAATGTGGATCTTGGCCACTATGATTGTGAAAACAATCCATGTTCTTTTTATTGGGGTCAAAGAGCATGCAAAATAGTGGGAGCTAAATAATTAAAAGTTCTAATTATTTAGTTAAGTAGATGTGATCATAGGAATTAATATATGATTTTAATTCCGTTCTATTTGAACTTCTTTAGGCTTTTAGGAATGTCGAATTTATCATTGAGAAGTATCTTGGATACATGCAAGCTTACTGGACCAAAATTTCTGGATTGGGAAAGAAATGTGCGTTTAGTTCTTAGACAAGAAAATATTGAGTATGTGTTAGACACACCGGTACCCAAGATTCCTGATGCCAACTCTCCTGAGTTTGCCACGTTTGACCTGACTGCTCGAGAGAAACACGTCACTGATGTTAAAACTGTGCAATGTGTTATGTTGGTTGCAATGTCTATGGAGTTGCAAAGGCAACACGATAGGATAACCGCCTTCGAGATGCTTGAACACTTGAAAAGTCTGTTTGATTCAGAAAGTCAGACTCTAGAGTATGAACTTCTGACAGACATTTTCAAGTGTAGGCTTCAAGAGGGTGGCAACGTGTCTGAGCACGTCCTCAAAATGATTGGCTTAATTGAAAGAGTTGCTACCACCGGAATTAAGTTTGAGGATCGTGTCTCAGCTGCTATCGTCCTATATTCACTTCCGAGTTCATTTACTAACTTCATTGTGAATTATAATTTGAACAAAACGAAAGCGACCATGCCTGAACTCCATAACATGCTCGAGTCTTATGAAGCCTCAACCTCCAAAGGAAAGACTGTTCTTATGGTAAGCTCTAATGCTAAGTCTCGTTCTAAGAACAAGAATAAGCAAAAGAATAAAGGTAAGGTTGGACCTACTCCTACAGCTCTGAAGCCTAAAGGTGGAGGTCATATGAAGCCAAACGTTGCAAAGGATGTTTGTCTCTACTGCAAAGAGAAGGGGCATTGGAAGAGAGATTGTGAGCTGTATAAGGCTAATCTAGCCAAAGCACCGGGTGCTTCAAGCTCAGGTATTTTTATCATTAAATAAATATGTCTATAACTAACTCTCATTGTTATAGTATTAGATACAACTTATGGCTTACACATTTGCAAAAATGTGCAGAAGCCTGGGAAACAGTGTAGCAGTTGGACTGGGTAAAATTGACCTACGCGTGAAGGCTGGAGCAAAAGTTGCTGTTGAACGTGATAGGATCTTATAGTTTAGATTTGCCCAGTGGCTTTAGATTAGAATTAAATAATTGTTATTTTATTCCTTCTATTACCAAGAAGATTATTTCCATTCATATGTTAGACATTAAAAGATTTCTATTTCCATTTTGCTAATAATAATTGTTGTTTTCGTAAAATAGTGTTGTTGTGGAAATGCTTTTCTTATGAATGGTTAATTATCAATCAACATATTAGATATTAAATGAATAAAATAAAAGGATCTCGATTAAGTAATCAGAAAAATTACTACCTATCTATGACATTGCAAACTTGGTCAAATTAATGAAACAAGAATAGCAACGTTAAATAAATTAGATTATTTATCACCATTTGCTTTTGAGTCATATGGAAATTGTGAATCTTGTCTTTCAAGCAACTTGACTAATAAACCTTTTCTAGGAAAAAGGATAGCAAGCCAAAGAGTACTTAAGTAAAATCTCTGATTTATTTAAAAGGTCAAAGAATTCGGTCATAATGAACTCCTCCAGAACACCTTAGAAGACCGACGTTTCTGCAAGGAGAAATAGGGCTTTGTTAGACATGGCTAGATCTATGATGAATTCATTTTCTCTTCCAAACATTCTTTTGAGGGTACACGCTATAAATCTCAATATGCATTCTGAATAGTTTGATTAGTGCAAAATGTACTATATGAGTTATAGTATAATAAAAGACATTTTCTTCACATATTAAATATGGGTTTTCCTACATATGTAAAAAAATGTGCACTAATCAAATTGAAAGCTGAAGTAACATAGAGAATGAAGATTTGTTAGATGGTCTGACGAAGGATTCAGTGGGAGAATTGAGTTGAAGAATGTCTCTAGGAGGATATCCTTCAGCTAGTGGGAGTAATATAAGAATCACCTCGCACCAGCAAGTGATTCTTATTAAAGATAAGATGACATGGTTGTCATTCCTTCTGCACCCACTTCTCTTTCTCTGGAAACACTTAAAAGTGTAGCACTAGAAAACTCTTCGAGCATTGGATAGTCCAATGAAAGAGAACCTCTTCACAATCAGAATAAACAGCCTGAACAAAATGCAAAACGTTCAACTCTGTGGGTCTACAAGGATTCATCATGAACTAACTAGGTTTGACTTCCTCACGGAGGACCATGATGATGTTGAGATTCCTGATAAGGATGAACCTAAGACCTACACTAAAGCAATATTAGATGTTGATATAGAGAGGTGGTGAGATGCCATGAAATCTAAAATGGACTTGATGTATATCAATCAAGTATGGAACTTGGTTGACTTGCCTGTTGGGTTAGACCCATTGGATGCAAAGGATTTTCAAGAAGAAAATTGATGTTGAAGGTAAGGTGAAAACATACAAAGCTAGGCTAGTGGCTAAAGGTTATAGTCAAAGAGAAGGAATTGACTATAGTGATACCTGTTTGCGAGTTGCAAAACTCAAGTCCATTCGGATTTTACTTGTGACAACTGCATACTATGATTATGAGATTTGACAAATGGATGTCGATACCCATTTCCTTAATGGAAACCTCAAGGAGGAGGTGTACATGGTACAACCTGAAGGTTTTTGCATCCAAGTCAAATTCTAAATCACTATGTTAATTAGAGAAATCTATTTATGGGCTAAAACAAGTCTCTAGGAGTTGAAGTATTAATTTTGATGAAAAAGTCAAATCGTTTGACCTCATCAAATGAAATGAGGGTGCTTGTGTGTTTAGAGTGTGAAACAAGGATAACGTGGTCTCTATAATCATATATGTTGATCATAGAGAATGATATCCCCTCATTGAAGTCCGTGAAAGAATGGTCACCCAAAATCTTCATCAATATCTTTTTGTCTATGGTAGACAGAAAGAACTAGTAGAATTTAATTATTCTAGCACTAGTTTCATGCATGATAAGAAAGACTACGAGTCACAGTCGGTATATGTTTTTAGTCTCAATGTAATAGTAGTGCTGAAAGAGTTTCAAGTAAGAAACTACTATAAATTCGACAACTAGAGCCTAGTAAATTGTTGCATTTGATGCAACATAGGTAAGCGTTTAGATACGTTAGTTCCTAGCAACAGCTATCCAATAATTGTTATTGTGACTGTACCGGTGCATTTGCACAAGCTAAGGAACCAAGATGCAAAGTAAGGAACTAGGAAATACCTGTGTGTATCATGTTTTTGATAACAAATAGCAAGAGGAGAAGTTGCAATAGAATGCCTTCCCGTAGAGGACAATTTGGCCGGCCAATTCACCAAACCTTTGAGATGCGAGAAACATACTAGACTTTTGAGAATCTAAGTGTTAGACACATCGATGATTGGCACTAGGCCAAGTGGGAGATTGTTAGTATATATATGTCCTAGTGACAATCACTTTTTAGAGATATATGTACTAGATCACATTCAGTTTTATATATTTGATATATACGGTATTACACATTGATGATTAAGTATTTTGATTGTCACTATCTTATTCATAATTGTGTTCCCTTGGACTTATGTTGTCAATAAGTAAGTGGGAGCTTATATGATATAACATAAGGTCCTAAAATAGCCCCAATCAATGATCATCAAGAATGGGATATTGATGATATGCGATAAGATTGGTATGTGGACTGCATCATACTTTTAGAAAGTATAGTTGATCTCACAACTATGAGTTCCTGTAATTCATGATGGTCACATAGATATTTTAGAAAATATTGGCATACCCACCGAGAAACCATTTGATAAGTTCTATTCATGTGTCTATGGGATTATCAGCATATAGAGTAGTGTAATAGTCCTCCGACTTGAGGTCAATACGTACTACATGTGCGGAGTGATGTACTTTGACAATGACCAACGCTTGCACTCCAATCGGGGTAGATACGGCATGTGTTGTGTGCATCACGAAGCACATGGAGTAGTAGTTGAGCCAAGAAAGGATTCATTCCTCGTAATAGATCAAGAGAGAACATTCTACTTCTCATATCTAGATGGATCATAAAGTCATTGGCCAATGCAAAGATATATTCGTTTTGGATATCGAATATGATCGTTATGGATCATCTAGAATTGAAGTAAAGCCAAAGAAAATAATAAGTAAAACTTAAGGTGGAATGGGAGTATCATACGTACATCCCATGTTCCAACTTTAGTGTTTTGCTTTTTATTTTTATTATTATCTTTATTTAATCATTAATGAAGAACACTTTCATTGTGATTGGGAAACTAGTTTAAAACTAGTATAAATACATCCTTCTCCTTCATAATTAATGACAAGTTTTCAGATTCAGTATTACCAGTTTATTTCCTTGTGAAGAGATTTCCTAGCCTTTCTCTTAGGGAGATCTAACCGTTCTTTCGGAAAGGAGAAATCACGTGGATACCAAAGGTCAAGGATTATCACCACTGGGCTAGAAGATCTGTAAGTTCTAACTCAGATCTGTTATTATTATCATATTCGTTATTTTGTCATACTCGGGGAAGATATGTTTGGGAAAATTTTAAACTTCCGCTGCTGTACTTTTGAGGTACGTTACATCAATTTCCTAACATGCTCATAGTGCTTGTCGTTGATTAGAATGAGCTTATTCATGTTATCAAGCATCTGGCCACCAAATTCTTATGCAGATGCAACAAATTGGTTGAAGGTAATCTGAGGCTCTGCTGGTGTAAACCCTGGCATCTCCAACCCTTTACCCTTAGGTAGTGGAGGGTTTCTGCCGGTGGGTTGAGGAGATTGGTCTCTTGGAGGTGTTCTTCTCCTCTTTGAAGTATGATCAGCAGCAAGTGAGGATGGGAGAAATCCATCATTATCAGCATCTGATGAGAGAATTCTGATGGGAATCTCCTTATTTGGCTTAGAGGCCACAGAGTGTTGAGAAAACCTCTGTGGTGTAGCAGCTCTGGAGTTTGACTTCGTTTTCTGTTGAGGAGGAGTGGCAGATTTGGTTTTCTGATGTGAGGTTTTCTGATGCGGTGAGCTCTGGTGAGTGGGATTCCTGTGAGGGGAGCTCTGATGGGTGGGGGTTTTCTGCTGATTGGATTTCTTAGGTGGAGGAGATGGAGGAGGTGAAGGTGTGCGGTTCCTGGAGGGAGTGTGTTGTTTGCAAGGAGAGGGGGATTTGGATTTTTGGGGAGATGATTTAGGTGATGGGGTTTTCTATTCCGGTGGGGATCTCTGTTGGGGAGAAGGGGTTTTCTGGTGATGTGGTAGAGTAGATGAAGGTACTTTGAGAGAGGGAGGAGGGAGTTCTGTGGAGTTATGAACAGGGGAGGAGTTGGGAATTACCTCCATGACAGTTTCCTCGAACTGTGAGTCCCTCCATTCTCTGATCAGCTTCTCCATGGCCAATGGTAGATCATTAGTTGTTGATGGTTCTCCTTCTGCATGAGCGCTTGGACAAAATATAATCAAGGTTTCCTTCCTTTTCTTTTCTATCAGCCAAGCATCAAACTCAACCATCTCATGTTCTTCCAAGGCTTTAACATGCTTTTCTGGTCAAGAGACTACCAGAATAGCCTTTTCTTTGAAGTTTGCCTTCTTTCTCTCTAAGACAGATGTCATAAAGTTGAGATCAAAGCACTGGTACACATCATCAGTACCTACCCAGTTAAGCACGGTTGCTTCTTCTTCCTCATAATGATTAAATAATTGAATGATCTTTATGAGAGGACCCATTCTCCACTCTCTCTAGGCAAGTACCCTTTCAAACTGTTTGTCCAGGACAACGTTGTAATCAGTCATGATCTCTGTCTCTGGTGAAGCTTGGCGTTCTGGTGTAGAGACATGGTTGGGTAAGTTTGGTACAGATGATGGTTGTACCTCTGATTTAGGTTCCCCTGAATTTCTGATTTCTTGGAGGGAGTAAGAGCTTTCTTCTTCTTCTTCTTCTTGATTGGGTGGGGTCCAGAACCATCAGAGTCCTCACTCTGATTGACTAACTTTCTTCTTCTCTTCAACTTCTGTTTTTTGACAGGAGACTTCCTGGTTGGCTTAGGAGAGGCCAACTCTGATGCAACCTCCTCTTGTGCATCCTTCTCTGGTACAGCCTTCCTATCGTTTGATTTCTTCTTTTTGATTTCCCTTTCAACCCTTGTTTGCTCAGGTTGAGTGGAAGTCTCAATGGGCTTCTTGATGGTTTTCTTGAGAGCAGGTTTAGGCTTAGCAGCTTGTTGTTCTCTCTTTTTCTCAAGCCTTT